GGCTCTCCAAGGCCTTCCGTCCCTGATGGTCTAGGCCAAGGGCATGGGATTTGGAGGGAGAACTTCCCTGGGGTACACACGCATGCCCGGTGCTTGCAGGGAAACTGAGGAAAGGCTTGGCCTGATTTGAAGTCGGTGGACGAGAGGCCGTAGGGAGAGGGCAGCAGTGTTTTGGGTCTGGGACGCTGCTTAGCGGCTTGCCCTCTGGGGGGGGGGGGGCAGTGGGGGTCAGGCTCTGCGGCTCCGAAAAGGTTCTCTCATCTTCAGGTTAACAACAAAATGCTCCAGGAAGAGAAGTGCCGTGTGCATTCGGTCGTCTATATTAAATCCTGTAGACTACCTGACCTTTCAGCCGTGAGGGTCCAGGCCCCAAATTTACGGTGCTAGACCCAGAGGGATGAGCAATTTTCAGGACGTTCCCTGCTGGGGCCTCTCGGCTTCCTCCTCCCAGCCCCGGCCTCCAGCCTGCAGTCGAATTGCCAGGGCATCTTTGACCTGAATTGACCTGACATGAGGGAACGGGCAGTGGGGGAGACACCTTGCTTGGAACCTGCAAGGCAATGAGTGTGTACGAGTTCCAGGTGCCCTGAGAACACGCAGGGAGGGCTGTGTCCACCAGGGCCCCGCCGCTGAGCCGCCGTGAGGGGACCCCGAGGGCTTGGGGAGGGCTGGCTACAGTGGCCCTCGGAGGCTGTGAAGGTCCAGGAGGGCAGACAGAGCTCCTGTCTGAGGAGGAGAAAGCTGGGAGCTGGTGGGAGGTGTATGAGTTGGTGGGAGGCCCTGGAAGGTGAAGCCTTCGCTGATGTGCTCCTCAGGATCAGAGCAGTAGTTTGAGGCTATGGTGGCAAAGTCAGGCCGGATAAAGGACTTCCTAACCGAAATGCCTGTCGTGGCTGAACTGGGGGTGCCGCTTTCTCTGGAAGGAAGACTGCCTAACCTCTTGACACCTGCAATGACGAGAGGGCAGCACGGCCAGGGGCAGAGGGCTGGAATCAATGACCCCTTCCCTGCCCTCCTCCAGGATCCTATCAATCCCCCAAGTCCTAGGACCTTAGCCTGCCTGATATCAGAAAGGAGCCATGCTGGGGGAGATGCTCCTGTAGTGACGGGGTGCGATGGCCCTTCCTGACCCCCTTCCGTGGAGAGGCGCCTGAAGGGACCTTCTAATACCCCTCCTGCCTCTGCCTTCCCTGCCCTCCCAGGCAGCCCAACCTTATCTCAGCCCCTCTCCTATCCGGCCTTGCATGGGAAAGTTCTTCTTCAGGTCTGCCCTGCAGCCTGTGCTGACTGGTGGGGAGTCCCCTGGTAACAGCCTGCCCCCCACCTGCGGGGACCTGGGGAAATGTATTGCTTGTGGCAGCGTGTCAGTAGGCTCCGCGTGGCGCGGCCGGGCAGGGCTGACAGCGGAAATTGGAAGCTGGCTGCTGTTTGACAGGTATATTATTCCCGCTGCCCTCGATTTATTTACCAAACAGCATGCAAGAGCCCCAGAAAGCTCCCAGAAAGAGGGAGGGAGTTGAGGCCAGGGAGGCTTTGAAAGGGTGAGGTGGCCTCGGTGTGCCGACGTTGGCACTGTGTGGAGAGGGGAGTGGGGAGCCAGGCCGATGTGGGTGGCGGAGGCCCCCGGGTCTTTGGGCCGTCTGTGGAAACTTCCTCCACGGCCCCAGCAAGAGGGGCTTCCTAAGCATCCTGGGGGATGCTTAGTGGTTTGGGGTCAAAGTCAAATGAGAGCCCATGCCTCACAGGTGGTTTGGGGAGGGGTCCCTGCCTTGCCTGGCACACAGGGGGAAAAAGAGGGCTATGTTGAAGAGGGGGGCCTCTCGGGGTGGGTGGGCGGAGCAGGGCTGCCCCGTGTGGTTGTCCGGCTGCCCATCAGCACACAGGCGCCCAGGCCTGGGGGGAGTGGGGTCTGACCTTGAACCTACACCGAACGAGGCACCCTGCTACAGGGTCATGTCTGCCTGGAGGGGGCACCTTTCCCTAGTTTGCTCAAGGGTGCCCCGGAGGCCCAGTGACAAGTCTATGAAGGGAAGCAGGATGTTTGGATTCAGACAGACTGGGATCCTGGCCCATCTGGGCCACACACAACCCACGTGACCCGGGGAAGGTCCCAGCTCCTTGCGCTCTCGCAACAAATGGTAGGAGTAAGAATGCCACTTCTGGGGGCTGCGGTGAGGAATAAATAAGATAATCCACACGAGTGCTTTGGAAGCTGTGAAACATACACGCGGTTTTTCAGGGTTTCTAAATGAAGAGAGGGAAAAGGCAGAGGGAGCGATTCCCGCGTGCGTCCCAAACGTGGAGTGGTGAGTCACGGGGACGGGAATGTCTGCAGCGTGTTCGGGGTGGGGTGGATGTCGGAATGTGGGTGTGCCCGTGTGGATGTGCTCTGCACAAGATGAGGAAGCTCAGCCCAGGAGCCCTTGGCTGCCGCCTGCGAGTCTGTGCTCCGCGCCTGCGACCGCGTGCTGGTCTGTTACCCGTGTGCCAGGTAGGGTGTGGGGACGTGTGTGTGTGGCTCTGTGAGAGGCTTTTCTGCAATTCTGACGGAGCTCTGCACGGATGCACGGGGTGTGGCTGTGCACGAGGGTTAAGGTGCCGGGGTCGGCGCGCACAGGAGCGTGTGCAACTTGGCGTGTGTACACGCCCCTCCCCCCGCCCCCGCACAACGTGAAAGGAGGCTTGCGGTGTCTGCCGTACGTCTCCCGCTTCTGAACCTGATGCAAGATTCATGAAGCATCGGTTTCTAGAAAGGAGGAGATGGCGGTGGAGCGGGGATGACATCCCATCCTGAATGGTGAGTCACAGAACAGAGCGGGGCTGGATGTAAGATTCCTCCCTCTCTGGGGGACGCAGATGCCTGTGCGTCTATTTTATTTTATTTTTTTCCCCTGGCTTCTGGTCTGGGAACTTCCCTTCCTTGGCTTGTAATAATGATGATCCCACCCCCCCCCCCCCCCCCACACACACACTGCCCCCACCACCCAGCACGCTGACTGTGGTCCCAGAGGTTGGCGGGTGCAGGCAGGAAAGCGAGAAGTGCTGGGGTCCTAATTCATGCGAGCCTCCTGTGCCCCATCAGATCGGGCGTCTCTGGAAGAGCGGGCAGCTGATGATCTGGGGACCACAGGTGGTAACTGGGAAGCAGCATCTCTGAGGTGGGCAGTCTCCCGGAAACCCCAGTCAAGTCTCCGTGTTGGTCCAGCTCCTTCTTCTCCAGGGTCACCAGACTGGAACTGAGACTCCCTGCAGCGGGTTCATTCACACCTGCAATGTGCCCCTTGCACCCCATGAGGGGGAGGGGTTCCTGGTCTTCATAGGGCAGCAAGGTTTTCAGGCTTCTTATGCTGGGCCCTGGGTGGAGCGGGACTGGAAAGGCTGCAGAGCACCCATCCTTGCTCTGATGCTGGCACCCAGCTTCTGGTGATGGATATGGCTGTGATGTGGGGTGGGCTGGAAGGGTCCTAAGAGGAGCCCGGCATGCTGACCCCTGTGGAGGAAGGTGCTGTGGAGGCTGGCAGGGGTGCAGATGCGTATAGCCGGGAACGAGACAGGGAGTCCAGAGGGGCAGGGACCTGTCATGTCCATTTATGCTTTGTGTACTGGAACTCGGCCCTCTGGGGAAGGAGGAGTGTGGGCAGGGGAAGGCAGTGCCAGAGAGGCTGGGGGGCCCTCTGTCCCCCAGTCCAGGCCAGGACATGCTCGTCGCCGACAGCCACACGGCCCTGCTCCTCCTGGGTCCCAGACCCGACTGTTTCCTGCGTCCTCTCCCTTGGGCCCCTGCCCCGCCACCAGGGAAGCACATGTTTGCGCCTCTGACCCTGCCTGTCAGCCTCGCCCCCCTCTCTCTGCTTCTCAGCATCCCTACCCCCCTTGTTTCTTGCTCCTAGTTCTGCACTTGACCTGCTTTCTCCTGAAATCCCATTCCCCATCCTTTCTTTGGATGCCCTCGCTCAGAGGGCTGGTAAATACAGAAAGAGCAGGCCGGGCTGGAGAGAGGCAGAGGAGCCTCAAACGCCCTCTGCCCTGCTGTCCCCAGATGGGTGTCACCACCCCAGAGAGGAGGGGCTCCTTTGCGACGTGCTGTTGTGCACACACGTGTGCGTATGCTCATGCGCGGGCACACACATGGCTCACACACAGCTCCATGCCTTCATGAGGAGGGGAAGGAGGCCTCTAGGCAGGAAAAGAAAGAAGTCAGAGTGACATTGGTGCTTCAAATGTATCAGGGCTCTGAAAAGAGAGTGAGCAAATGAGGGGAAATGGGCAGGAGGCATGCACGCTGGCCTTGGCTTCTCTGGGCCTTGAGCTTCCCGCTAGACCCCTCTAGTGAGTGTGGCTGTCTACCTCCAGGCCTGCCGGCTGCCGCCCGAGACTCATCCAGGCATGTGTCTGAGTAGGTCAGCCCTCGAACTCCTGGGGGCTCCATGCTGATCCTGTGGCCACCAGCCTGAGGTGAAGTGTTGGGACCCTGCCCCAAACCCCAGACTCCTTGGCTGAGGACTCAAGACCCTTCACAGCCAGCCCCGCCTTTCTAGCTACCCACCTCCCCGTGCCCTGTGTGGCTTCTCATCAACTCCCTGGCGTAGGATACAGCATTAAAAACCCCAGCAATCGGGCGCCAGCGTGGCTCAGACGGTTAAGCGTCTGACTCTTGGTTTTGGCTCAGGTCATGATCTCACGGTTTCGTGGGTTCAAGGCCTGCATTGGGTTCTGTGTGCTGACCTTGCTAAGCCTGCTTGGGATTCTCTCTCTCCCTATCTCTCTGCCCCTCCCTTGCTCGTGCTCTCTCTAAATAAAGAATAAATAAACATTAAAAAAAAAAAAACCACCCAGCAATATGCACTAACAACAACAACAACAACAACACAATAAAAAGAGTTTGGAAGTTGGACCATCAGATTGGTCCCTGGGAGGGCTGCTTGATCTTGCTGTTTCTGGAGGCCCCACCACCTTCTTTGCTTCGGGTAGTCAGCTTTCTGGGTTTTTCCTTTTCCCAGTCTTTTCTCAGCTGTGTCTCTGAAGAGCTCAGATCACCCTGGCCACAGGGATTGGTCCAGAGATGGGGAAGTCAGCCTTAGGACGTTTGTTGGAAATTCTGGAAAGGGTTCTCTTTCCCCTGGCATGGCCAAGCTGATAGAAGTATACCCAAAGATGCTTCGTCTGTGCTCGGGGAGACTCTTCTGGAGAATAAAGCCACACAGGAGAGCAGAGTGCAGTGATGGAGAACCCATGTACTCAGTAACCTCAGTAGAGTGCCTGGATACAGCCACACCTGAAACACTGAAACCATACCTCCTCCCGCACAGTTCACTTCCAAGAGCCGGTTCCTTTTTTCTCTTGCTTGCTGAAGCCAGTTTGACTTGGGTTTCTGTCTCTCACAAAGCGAGGGGTTGGCCAGTATGGGGAGGGGACTTAACCTCTCTGAACCGGAGTCTCTTCATCTGTCAAATGATCTCCTTACTCGCCCTGAAGGGTGGGGCCCCGCAGGCCCGCCGGCAAGAGCGGGAATGGTCTTACAAAAGCTCTTGCCAGGGTTATCTCACCTGGTCCTTTGGAGAACTCTGTGAGGTGCTTAGTGACTGTAATGGTCGTGCTCCACTTGGAGGGGAGGACTCTCGCAGTCAGGGAGGTAGCAGGTACCGGATCGCTTTCGCTTCATCCTCGCCACCCCCCCCCAAAAGAAATAAATAAAAACTTAAAAAGAAATCCCCCCCATTGGTGTATGTGTCAGCCTCCACTGAGTGCAGGGTGGGAGCAGACCCTGGCTAACCGCTGGGGTCCTTGGGCAGGTGGTCGTTGGGATAAGGCTGCCTGGGAGGGCGGGCAGCGTTTGCCCTAAAAGCAGGAGGACACTGTGGTTGTGAATCGTCCCGAGAAGAGGAGGGTCCCCGGACAGGTGGAAGCAGGAAGCCCTCCCTTGAACAGGGAAGTGCTCCCCAGGCACCAGGGACAACTTGTAAAGATCAGCAGGATCCTGGGGGTCTGGGAAGGGTTCCTGGACAGCGGGGGTTGAAGATGGCACGCGCCTCGTGGAGAACAGCAAAGGCCATCAGAAACTGAGCGTGAACCACGTACTCAGGCCCGGGCTTGGGGTTTCGATCCCATCACGCCGGTACGACCAGGTATTGTCCTCCCATCGCTCGGGAGGAAGTACCAAGCGCTATGGGGATAACAGCTTTCTCAGATCACGCAGTTAGGAGGAACCTGGGTTCGGATTCAAGCCTGGGTCGAAAGTTCGTGACTGTAGCTCAAGTGGAGGCAGAGGGGACCAGAGGGGGGGAGCTTTGTGGTGGTCCCCACTTTGGCAATGAGCCACACCATGCCGTGGGAGTCCAACTCCTGTGACTCGGGCGGTGAGTCTTCCCCGGCTCTCCCTGCACCCTTGGGCCCCTATGTGATTGAGCCATCGGGACCTACGGGCAGGGTCAGATGGGCCGCAGTGACAGGCAGCAGGCCTGGCCTGCAGCCTGAGTATGGGTCAGCCGGAGACCCCAAGGGGAAGGTGAAGCTTGGGCACAGAGTCTGGCACAGCGTCAGCTGGGCACTGGCGTCCGTGTGGCCCGCTTCTCCCACGGCCATTCCGGCACCTGACAGCCCCGGGCCGGGAAGGGAAGGCTCGGAGTGCCTGGGCTCGACGTGGAGCTGGCAGGACCCGATTCTCCATGTTCTCATCACAGAACTACACCTGGGCGAAGCTTCCAAAGGAGCCACCCAGGCTAGGCTTCCCTCCCCAGGGCTTTGGACGCCGGCACCCTCCCAGCCTCCTGTGCTCGCAGCGCTGGAGAAAAGAAAACGCGTGCCCCCGAGCCAGCTGCATGAAGGCGAGGGGTCTGTCCTTTGCTCCCAGACCATGTCAAACTACAGAGTTATAAACGAGATGGAAATACATTTCTAAAGTATCTGCTGCTTTAGCTCTTCTGTTCCAGGTTGAGCTGCCTGCTGGTTCCGGAGAAAGGACAAGAAAGCCCAGGGCTGCCCGGAAGCAGAGGCTGAGACTGAGCCTGGGGTCCCACCTTCCCTCCCTGGGGCGCTGCAAAGACTCCAGGTAAGGCAGGAGCAGCTCTTTCTCTTACTCTCTCTCTCTCTTTCCCTCTCTCTCTCTGTCTCCCTCCCTCCCTCTGTCTCCCTCCTTCTCTCTCCACCCACCCCGGTAGCCCAAGGGAGAGACTCTGGGTCCCAATGGGTGATGTGGCTTTCTGTCTTCTCGATCAGCAGCTCAGTGCACAATGGATCCATTTATAGTCATAGCAGCTTTCCAGCCCCAGCACTGCCACCAGTGCTAACTCAAGGCTGGTGCGGGGACGGCCACCAACCCGCTTTCCTTCCCGCCTTCCGCAACTAGAGCTCAACGCGAGGCAGGGAGCAGGTGGGAGCCTGGGACCCAGGGGTCAACCGGCCCAAGGTCTCCTGGGCCACACCCGCCATGCAGGGCCCTCTCCCAGGGGCAGGGGGTGGTCCAGCCATGTAGAGGAGCACGAGGGTCGGGGATGCCAGGAAACAGACAAAAGGCCGGTGCGAGGGGCACGTGAAAGGCACAGGCGAACCGCGGGTCCTCCGCGTGGCAGGGACCCCAGAAGCCATCCAGCCTGGTGGTTCCTGACCGCTGCAGCACACAGAACATAGCAGGTGACGCTCCCCTGCTCCTCACACATCCAGCTCCTTCCATGTCACACTCACCACCCTCTCTCCACCCCACACTGCACAAGCGGGGTGATGCCCTGTGCACACAGAGAGCAGAGCTTCGGCAACCCCCGAGGCCACCCAGCGTGCCGTGGCTCCTGTCCATGCTGGGCTTCCCAGTTGGACAGACATCCAATAAATATTGGTTGAATGAAAACCTGCGTGCTTTCCACAATGCAGATGACCAGGCCTCACCCCAGCGCCACTGAATCGGAATCTCAGGAGCGGGAGCCTGGCATTTTAATAGTCTACAGAGCTTCTGGGTGGTTCCAACGAGGTGCATAGGTGAGAAACCGAGGGTAGAAACGACTTGCCCAGGCCGCTGCGCTCAGTGGTGAGATCAGAAGCCCGGCCTCTGAGGCCGAGTGGTGGGTGATGGGGGTCAGGTGGGCTTGGGCTCCCTGGAGGTAGTGTGCCTGAGCAGGGGTCACAGGTAGAAGGGAAGAGAGGAGGCCCGGTGGAGGGAAGGGGCAGGGGAGTTCTGGAAGGCTGGCCGTGACACTGAGCACATTCATTCCTTTCTGGAGAGAACCTGGAGCCGTGGAGAGAGAGGGAGCGGTCGCCCCGCAGCAAGTCTAAGAAGGCTTCCTTGAAAAGGAGCAAGTTGGGTTTCTGTGGCAGTCCAGCCCCGGAGAGGTCACACGGGGGGTGGACTTGGCATGAGAGAAGCGGCAGTCAGCAGACCTAGCCTGGAGTCCGGGTTCTGCCCTCTCCAGCCGCGTCCCCACACCACGCCTCAGTTTCCCCTGTGACCCCCTGATTGAGAAATAGGGGATAATAGCACCAATTCGCTTGTAGTGAGCGTAAAGGGACGACGAGAACACGGGGGTGAAACCACTTCTCAACGGGGACTTGCCAGACGCACAGAAAGAGCTGGGGTCCGGAGTTTCACAGACAAGGGTCTGAATCCGGTGCTGCCACTTCCTAGCTGTGCCACCGGGAGACAAGTGACTTAAGTGTCGTCATCTGTAAAATGAGGATAATGAACCTCTGCATCACAAGATAAATATGAGTTGTCAGCGAGGGAATGTGTCCCTGGCACATAGCGGCTCAATTAGCGTCTCTGTTCCTTTTGCTGGGGGGGGGGGGGGGGGGCGGTGTGGCCTGGCAGAAAAGTGACATTCAGGTCTGGCCCCTCCCCTGCCCAAGTGGCCCGACCTCGCCTCACCTCTGTGAGCCTCAGTTTCTGCACGCGCGGCGGGGGGGGGGGGGGGGAAGTGGAGTGTCATCCGAACCTCACCGGAGGACTTTGCAGAGGAGCAGTTTACTGGAGGGGTTCCCTAAACGAGGGGGACCTGCTGTCAACCAGAATGACCAGATAAAAGCAGCCATGAATAGTCAAGGGCCACAGAGCAAAGGGGCCGGGAGAGGAGGGAGGTGATGGGGGTCACAGGTGGCCAGCACCCAGCCCCGCCTCGCAGCGCCCAGCACACCCGGCCTCGCTCCAGCCAGAGAGCAGCTCCTGGCGCGCTCCGGTCTGGCCCGGCCCGAGGCCAGTCTGCCGCCCGCCCTGCCTGGCATTGATGGATGCTGGGGCTGCAACAGCGGGCTGGAGCCAGGATCAATACTCTAATCAACACCACACGGAACCGCCAGCGCTTTTCCCCCCACCGAACTTGGTGTGCGTGGGGTGGGGGGGACGTTGGGCGTTGCTGAGAAGGGGGAGAGATGAACTCCAACGCTGAGAACTCGCTAGATGAATAATTGAATCAGTGGGAGAGGAGGAGGGTCGGGCAGCCTCACCGGAGCCACCCCGGCTGCAGTTGGGGGCCCGGAGGCGGGGGCCTCGTGGACCGCCCTGGCCAGGGGAAGGGATTTGGGACAAAGGTGCAGGCTCGGGTGGGGGGATGACACGGTCATCTGCTGCTTTGCAGCCCGTCCGCTGCGTGCCCCCACCCCTGGGATGTGCCAGCTTATTATCCTCACCCTGTCCCCTTCTCCTTTCAGGCCTCCTGCGGGACCCTGGATCTGAGGCTCCCGCACAGACTCCAGAATGGCCTTTCCTTCCACGTCTGAGTTCCCTTCTGCGTGGGGTCCCAGGTCTTCCTCCACCCCATGGGCCAGAACCTTTTATCTGGGAGCCCAGGGCTCTTTTCCCGGCCTTGCCTTGAGGGAGGCGTCTGAGTCCCGGAAGCTCACCTGCCGTCATAGCTTTCGTCCACTTGCTTCCGAGGCACCACGCCTCGCTCTCCTGAGCGCCCAGTGCCGTGATGAGTGTCGAGGGTGAGTTGAGGCCTTTGCCGTCCCCCTCCAGCCCCTGGTGCCCTGCTCCACTGCCTCTGTGGTCATCCTAGGGCCTGTGCACCCCACTGCCCTCCAGGGAGGAGGTCTGGGCATCTCCCACTTGCCCACCCGCCCCCCACCCTCTACCCGGCGTCGAGAGCCTTGCAGGTGTAACATCTGAGCCCCACGGGAGGCTCACGGGGGAAAGGACTCGGTCCTAGTTTATGGCTCTGCCAGGGTTTAGCTGTGTGACCTTGGAAGCGTCACTTCATCTCATTGAGCCCCACTTCACTCAGCTATACAAGGAGGATAATCGTCTCTGCCCTCCCGGCCCTGTGAGGTTTCTGAGGGGAGAAAATGCAATAATGCTTCCTAATGGCCCAGGAAGGCTCAGCCAGGAAGGGGCAGGACGGGGCTCAGGCCGACGCTGCTGACTCCACACCCCGTGATATCAATCGGCCAAAGCCGGCCGTTTCCTGGCGGGGACACAGTACAGGAATGCAAGCATCGGATGCATGTGGGTGGACCTTGTGAGCAGTTGGGGGGTCAGGGACGGGACCCCACACCTCATCTTTTGTCATCTGTCACCGGTTCCTGCGTACCAGTCCCAGGGGTCCACGGAGGTCTGTGCTCAGGGTCAGGGCTCTGGGAAAAGGAAATGTGACCCCAAAGCCTGGCTAAACCAGGGAGGGTCTATGGTCAGCAATACTGTCCCTGGCCGGCCCCCTTTATTCCTCTCCCCAAATCACCTAGAATGTCACAGCCAGGAGAGACCTCTGAGACTTTACAGAGGAGATCCCTGAACTGACTCCAAGGCCACTGCTGTTTGCGGGGAGATTAGTGGTTTGCAAACTGGGTTCCTGGGGGACCCCGGGCCTGTGGAGATTGCCGTGGAGGCGCCGCGATGGGGGTGGGTAATGGAGGTTGAGTAAAAAGGGCTTTGCCTCCTCTCCTCTAGCTCCATTTGAGAGCCACTCCCTCCTCTTTGATCTGTATGTCACTTCCTTGAAAAACGTATGAAAAACAGTGTGAATCTTCTACCTGGCGTCAGTCTCCTGTGCCCAGACTGTGCACCCCACCCCCCCGCTCTGTCCCTCCCCTGCGGACTGCCCTCATCCGTCCCTGTGTGGTTCTGTGCTTTTTTTCCAGACCATGATCCTCTTCACCTCTGTGTGCCTCTCTAAAATCAAAGCCAGTCCTCTAACCAACCAACCCGGCCTCTGCTAAACAGACCATAGCAGAGCCCTCCCACGTATCGACGTGTATTTCAACCGGGGTCTTCTGAAGATGATGCCTCCGTTCGCTTTAAAGGTCTCGGGGTAAGCCAGCCGAGGAGACGCTTCTAGTCAAGGAGGTCTTTCGGGGCTTCTTCCCCCACAGCGAAACCAAATCCCTGCCCTGCTGCCTGGCCGCCCAAGGTGCTCCTCGGGGCACAAAGCTGAGTCTTGCTGCTGAGACCGGGCAGCCAGCGGGAGCGGCAGAGTCTGTGGTGGGGCGGAGGGAAGGAGCACAGGGTCCGGAGCCTTCTAAGCCTGGCTCTGCCCTGATCTGGGGCAAGCACCGTGCTTCCATTCCCTGCTCAGAACTGGGGGTGATGGCCAGAGCATCACCTCCTAGGGTGGGCATGAGAACGCCAGGATGGAATTCACGGGGAGCCCTAGAACGGTGCCAGGCGCAGAGTGCCCTTTGACCTTGTGTTTGCTGTTATGGGTAAGGGCGGGAGCAGAGGCAGACCCAGCCGCCCTGCAGGTGATTCATACCTCTGAAGTCCTTCCATGCCCCACACTCCAGCTCACGTCATCCCCACGATCATCCCAGTGCCACGTCCCTATTTTGCAGATGTTGAAATGGAGGCTCAGAGCAGGTCTGTAAACCTTCCCCCAGGGCCCCGCATTATGAGGGGGCTGACTCCCAACCCATCCACCTCCCTGCATTGCACTTAAACTGCCGAGGGCTGCCCGAGTCTGCCTGTTCCAACGTCACATTCGCACCCAGGGCCCCTCCAGTGCGCACCGCACTGGCCGCTTCCTGAAACTGTCCCGTCTACCCAGGCAGCCACGCCCACCCTGTCCCCTCTCCATCTCTCCCCTCCATCCCCTTCTCCCAAGATTTGGTCTGCTGAGCCGCTGCATCCCTCCATCCGTTCTGTTCATCCTCACTTTGGCTCGAGGGCCTGACCTAATTTACGGGTGGCTGGTTAGGGGAGTGTGTGTGTGTGTGTGTGTGTGTGTGCACATGTGTGCATTTGCATGCGTACACGCGTGCATATCTGGGGGACTGCAAAACAGAGGGAGCGTGTAGTGGGGGGGTAAAGAGTACCAGGCCGGGGGAGCCGAGCTGGGGAACTTCAGCTGGGCTCTGCAGATTGCTGGCCAAGTATATGACCGGCAACAGGTACTTAATAAATGCCCACCAAAGGGATGCATGTGTCCCCAGCACAGACTCTGGAGGGCAGTATCCAGAGCAGGGCTGCAGTGAGGCTTTCTCCTCCCAGGGCAAAGTGTCTGTCATCTGTCCGTGGCTGCCCTCTGTGGCCTGGGTGTGTGGGGAGGGACCTCGAGCTCCCCCGTTCATTGTCCAGTGTGTAGATTCCATCCTGGACGTAGAAGCCCCCTCCCCTTGCCCCTGCCCCCTGCTACGGAAGCCATGGTGGAAACGAGCAAGCGGGACCTTGGGGACAAGTCTGGCACCGACCGGCGCTTGTCAATGCTAGGAGACCTCCGGCAAGTTGCCTAAGCTCTCTGAGCCTCACTTCCCCTTTGGTGAATGGAGGCTCCTCCTCTCTGCTGTGATGGTCTCTGGGAGTTAAGTGGAGGCAAGGAGACTGCAGGGGCGTTCTCACGTGAGGACTTTCTCTTGTCTATACAATAGGGATATTTGGCTCTGTGTCACAGGGCCAGTGTGCAGGTTCCTCAAGATGGCTCACGTAGAGCTCTTTGCACACTGCATGGCATGTAGCAGGGGGTCGACAAAAGCAGCTACTTCTAGGAAGTAAGCGGCCAGCTTTCCCCCCAGGCAGGTCAACCCCCAGCTTACTTCTTCCCTTGGCAATGCAATGCAGATGCCGGCAGCCAAGCCCAGGAACTCTCTGGGTGTTCCATCTTCCAGGGTTTTTTTGTTTTGTTTTGTTTTTGTCCCAGGCAAACCAACCACTGATGAACTTCCTGCCTCTGGGACAAAGTGGTCCCCAGCATGACTGTCTGGGGGTCCTGGTGGGGCTGTGTTCCTGGGCTGGAAGAGGGACTGTATGACCTTTGGCTCTGGGGGTTTAAACTCAGCCCTGGTCTCCACCTGCCCTCTGGCGTGGGCAAGAGGAGGCAGGGTTCTGGGCCCAAGAGGCCTGGTGGGAAACACATAGCTCGCTTGGCTGCTGGTTGGGAAGGGAGGAAAGCTCAGGGAGCAGGGGCTTGGCCTGGGGGAGCCCCATCTTATTCTCGCCCTGGCGGCAAGAGCTGGAGCCCAGGCTGGAGGGCAGGCTGTGGGTCAGGACACCTGAGCTCCATCCCTGACCTTTCTGGTAATCCGTGGGCACGGTGTGAGGTCAGTCTGGGCATGGGCTTCCCCGCTTGTGGACTGGGGTGCCCCACAGCACTCTTTCCAGCATCATCAAGGGGCTGATAAGATACCGGAGACGGCAGACCCCTCTGTGAACGGCAGGTGCCGCCTTGCGTGTCCTCTGGGCAGGCTTCTGGCCCTCTCCCTGCCACCCTCCCTCCTCCATCCTGTCCGGACAGCAGCCGGTGGCCCATGGGCAGAGCCTCTCCCCAAGCTCCCCGTGGCCTGGCCGCGGCCTCACTAGAGAGCACATTTCTGCTCCATTAGCCGGCCATGAAATGTGTTCAGAGTTTCCTGACGGGCACAGAAGCTGCCACCACATAAAACAGGCAGAAAACGAAACGCTCATCTTCCTCCCGGACCTGGTATAGGCGGGTCAGTTCTGTATGATCAGCCCTCAGACCGTGGGCTGGAAAGACGCAAGATCCCAGCTCTGCTCACCACCCTGAAGAAACAACCTGCTTGTGGCAAAAAAAAAAAAAAAAAAAAAAAAGGAAAGTTGAAATACAATCACAGTTTAGTTCAAGTTGGATATTAATAGCTTCAGGGGCAGGGCTCAGAAAGAAAGAGGGGAGGGCAAGGAGAAGGGGAGAGGGGGCTGTGAACACCATCAACATCCAATTTCCTTGGAGAATCAGGAACCTGCAAGGCTCTGGTCTGGGGTGGGGGAGGATGGGGTGCTGCTGCCTGGGCACCGTGGGGACCCCCAGCCTCTGGCCCGCCGCCTCACCGGCCCGGACACCTGTCTCCAGCTCCAGCTGCCCCCTTTCCGTGCCTCGGTGCGCAGTGCTCTCTGGCCGGTCCATACATGCCCGGGGCTGTGGGCTCTCACATCTGTCGGAGACGGGGCCGGGGCCACACCTGTGGGGATGCTGCTGTGACTTACCCATCCCTGGCTGCGTGAGCGTGGGCTGCTGACGGCTCATAGCTGCCCCTTCTGCAGAGATCTGCCCTCTGGGCAGTGGGTTACCTCTAGCGGCTCCTCAGGGCACCCACCAGCCAGCCAATGACGGGCTGACGCAGGGAACAGTGGGCTGAGCGCCTTGCCAGGAGTGGAGGTAATATTCTTGGCTGATTTATGTTCCAGGGTGACCCATGCAGTGACTTGCCCTGAGACCCTCATGCCCTTCCCTCTGCTGCTTCTCTTACTTTTTTACGTGTTTTGGCTGAAGGGGACTCCCTCAAGAAATCATGAATCCCGAACCCCTGCCTCAGGCTCTGCTGTTAAGAAACCCACGCTTGGGGCGCCTGGGTGGCTTGGTCGGTTAAGCGTCCGACTTCGGCTCAGGTCACGATCTCACGGTCCGTGGGTTCAAGCCCCGCGTCGGGCTCTGTGCTGACCGCTCAGAGCCTGGAGCCTGTTTCAGATTCTGTGTCTCCCTCTCTCTGTGACCCTCCCCTGTTCATGCTCTGTCTCTCTGTCTCAAAAATAAATAAACGTTAAAAAAAATAAAAAAAAAAAGAAACCCACGCTTAAGAGCAGCTGGGTGGCCTGGAGCAGGTCATCGGACAATCTGAGCCTCAGCGCCCTCAACCAATCCCTCGGGAGGTGTTGCAGGTAGGTAGGTAACTTTCAAATTCGGTGACATACAACACACACTTATCATCATCCCACAGTTCTTGGGGGCAGAAGCCCGACTGGGGTCTCACGGGGCTAAAATCAAGGTGTCGGTGGGACTGCATTCGTCTCTGGAGGCTCAGGAGAGGGGCTGTTCTCCATTTCCTTGGCTTCGTGGCTCCTACTCCCCATCTTCAAAGCCGGAAGTGGCCAGTGAAGTCTCCCTTGTGCTCTGTCCCTCTGAGTCCAACTCTCCTGGCCCCCTCTTTTACTAACAGGGACCCTTGTGATCGTGTTGGGCCCACCCAGGTAATCCAGGATAATCTCTCCATCTCAAGATCCTTAGCCTAATCATCTCTGCAGAGTCTCTTTTGCCATGGAAGGGAGTATATTCACGGGGAAGAGGAGGGAGACACTTGGGGGGCATTATTCTATGTACTGTATACCCGGTGGATCTCAATCAATATCTCCTCATTTCCTCTCCGTAGGCATGTTATCGCACCCCTGTGAGACTATTCCTACATCCTTAATTTAAAGATCATGGTGGGGGTTAATAGGGATCAACGGGGTGTGTGTGGGGGGGGATTGCAGACGGGCATAGAGAAGGAGAGGCTAGTCCTATGGACTTATTTTTTTTTTTTAATTTTTAAAAGTTTATTTATTTATTTTGCAAAGGGGGAAAGGGCGGAGAGAGAGGGAGGGAGAGAATCCCAATCAGTTTCTTCGCTGTCAGTGCAGAGCCCACGTCGGGGCTTGAACTCACCAACTGCAAGATCATGAGCTGAGCCGAAATCAAGAGTTAGACACTTGACCAGCTGAGCCACTTGACCAGCTGAGTCCAGATAGATGCTCCAGTCCCACGGACTTAGTGATCTCCCGTTATGGTCCCCACTCCAGATTCCGTGCCCTGTGTGTTCTCTGAAGGAAGCCCTTCTCCTTGCCTTCCTGGGTGCTAAGTTTTCTGGGGATACCTCTGTAGGAGAACCCCGAGTTGCCCTTGAGAATGGGATAGAGAGGGGAGGGCTTCTGAGCCTGTTGTGGAGAGGGGAGAGAGGAGGGAGTGCTAAGCCCATTTCTTACCCACCGTTTGCCCGGAGCGTGACTTCTTGGTGTTGGATATTCGAGAAGGGACGGGCATCAAGATAGAGAGTGAGGAACGGCTATAAATGGACGGGGTTCTGTGAGATATGCAGGCACTTGGGATTCAGTTGACGGTCATCGCAGGACCAGGATCAGAAACCGGGCCTGTCGCAGCCAGACTGCTGGTAATTTCCCTTATTTATGCTCTTTAACTTCCGGTGAAGCTCCTTATGAAAAGGCCACCTGGGTCAGTTGTGTTGAGGAGAAGAAAAGGAAGGGGTTGTGCTTGAGAAATGCTTGGGGGGTGGGAGAAGGCCCCAAGTTGGTGGGGCAGCAGGGGTGGATGTGGGGACCTCCAAGAGGAGGCAAGGCATTCAGGGGCATCACCTCCTCCAGGAAGCCCTGCCTGGGCTGGGTTGAGAACCCTCGACTTGTTTTGCTGCTCCATTGTAATGATCTGGTTAGGGGTCCATACACCATGCTGGACTAAGCCCCTAGGGGATGGGGGCCCTGCCCTGTTCTTCCTGAATCCCAGAATCCCGCTGTCAATCACCGCTCACTGAGGCAAGGGACCAAGGCAGGAGCAAGTGACTGCCCACCCCCATCACACCAGCCCCGTCGGCAAGTCTGTCCTGGCAAAGAAGCCCGGTCAAGACGGGGGCCGAGTCTCCCTAATGCTCTGCAGACCAAGTCCAGCCTTTCTTTTTCTTTTAAAATTTTTTTAAATGTTTATTTATTTTTGAGATAGAGAGAAACAGAGCATGAACAGGGGAGGGTCAGAGAGAGGGAGACACAGAATCTGAAACAGGCTCCGGGCTCCGAGCTGTCAGCACAGAGCCCGACACGGGGCTCGAACTCACGGACCATGAGATCACGACCTGAGCCGAAGTCGGACGCTTAACCGACTAAGCCACCCAGGCGCCCCAAGTCCAGCCTTTCTCTGGCCAATTATATACTAAGAACAGAAGCTGCTTGAAATGTTTTCACTCGGCTTGACAACCATGGTGTGAGTTCTGGCCACGAAGACAGATTTGAGATCAGTTCTCTAGTCTGTTAGAATTCTCTGACAGACCTTGGGCAAGTCACTTTCCTCTCATGGACTTCCTTCTCTCTCCCGCCCCCCTCAGTCTCTCCAGGGGTAACTGACAAGTAAAATTGGAAGATATTTAAAGTGTACATCATGGTGATTTGATATGTGTATACATCGGGCCAGGATCCCCCCATCTAGTTAATTTTTGCAAATGCATCTCTTGTTTGTTTGAAATGTGAGAACATTTCAGTTCTACCCGCTTAGCAAGTTTCACTGATGCGATACACAGTGCTCTCAACTATGGTCACCATGCCATACGTTCGATCTTCACATCTCACTCACCGTATAGCTGAAAGTTTGCATCCTTTTACCAACGTCTCCCTATTTCTCCCCAGCCCCAACTTCTACTCTTTGTTTCTATATTTGACCTTTTTAAATTTTTTAATGTTTTATTTATTTTTGAGAGAGAGAGAGAGCAGGGGGAAGGGCAGAGAGAGAGAGAGAGAGAGAGAGAGAAAACGAGGAATCCAAAGCATGCTCTGCTCTGACAACAGAGAACTCGATGCGGGACTCAAACTCACGAACCTCAAGATCATGACCTGAGCCGAAGTTGGTGCTTACCTGATGGAGCTACCCAGGCACCCCTCTATGTTTGACCTTTTTTTTGTTGAAAAATTTTTAAAACGTTTATTTACTTTTGAGAGACAGAGCACAAGAGGGGAAGGGGCAGAGAGAGAGAGGGAGACACAGAATCTGAAGCGAGCTCCAGGCTCTGAGCTGTCGGCACAGAGCCTGACGTGGGGCTCGAACTCACGGACCGTGAGATCATGACCTGAGAGGAAGTCAGATGCTTCACCGACTGAGCCACTCAGGTGCCCCTGCTTAATAATCATTTTGATCTCGAGGCGCTTGAGAAACAGCAGATGCAGGAAGGGCTCTCTGACCTCCCCTCTCTACCTAAAAGCGTGTCCCAACGTTTCCCGGGAGAAAGATGCCCTCCTTGTACCAGGAAGAAGAGAACATTCTCATCACCAGAAACTGAGAGTCAACACCGAGAGGGTTCTGTGCAGACAGACTCCCCAAAGTAACTCTGATCTCCCATCACTAATCACTGTGCCACAGTTACTGGCCCTGGTCTAAGCATGTCCGTCTTGTCACGTCCCCACAATTTATCATTCTTTATTTAAAAAGGATATGAACTTGGGGCGCCTGGGTGGCTCCGTTGGTTAAGTGCCCGACTTTGGCTCAGGTCATGATCTCATGGCTCGTGGGTTTGAGCCCCGTGTTGGACTCTGCACTGACAGCTCAGAGCCTGGAGCCTTCAGATTCTGTGTGTGTGTGTGTGTGTGTGTGTGTGTGTGTGTCTGCACCTCCTCTGCTTGTTTTCTCTCTCTCTCAAAAATAAATCAGTAAACACTTAAAAAATAACAAAAAATAAAAAGGACATAGGGGCACCTGGGTGGCTCAGTCAGTTAAGCATCCAACTTCGGCTCAGGTCATGATCTCACAGTTTTTGAGTTCGAGCCCCACGTCAGGCTCCATGCTGACAGCTCAGAGCCTGGAGCCTGCTTCGGTTTCTGTTTCTCCTTCTCTCTCTGCCCCTCTCTCCCCCTCTCAAAAATGAATAAACATTAAAAAAATTTTTAAATGATAAAAACAAAAAGGATATACACTCTGGAACCTAATGGTTTCTTTGGGTCTTCATTTTGAAGATTCTTTTGAAGATTTTGAAGATTCTTGTGTATTGGGGCGCCTGGGTGGCGCAGTCGGTTAAGCGTCCGACTTCAGTGAGTCCGTGAGTTCTCGCGGTCCGTGAGTTCGAGCCCCGCATCGGGCTCTGTGCTGACAGCTCAGAGCCTGGAGCCTGTTTTGGATTCTGTGTCTCCCTCTCTCTCTGCCCCTCCCCTGTTCATGCTCTGTCTCTCTCTGTCTCAAAAATAAATAAACGTTAAAAAAAAAATTAAAAAAAAAGAAAAAACATATATTAAGCACCTACTATGTTCCACAATATGGATGAGCCTGGAAGGTATTGTGCTAAATGCAGTAAGTCAGGCAAGACAAATACCGTACGAGCTCTCTTACAGGTGTAAACCCAAAAGCAATAAACGACAAACAACAATCCAGAAATCTCAACCCATGGATACAGCGGACAGATTGGTGTGGTGGTTGCGAAAGGTAGGGGGAGGGGGTGGGGGAAATAGGTGAACTGTTTTTTTTTTTTTTAAATCTATTTTAAATAAATTTGAATTAAATTTAAAATTGAATAAAAAATCCCTAAAAAGCAGATTTGGGACCTGTTCACCTCCCACTCACCCCACTCCTTACCTCCTGATTTGGAATTTTAGAGGGGCCATGCGTGATTCTAGAATCCCAACTTAATAAGTATCCAGGTATCTCTTTTTTAATGTAAACCCTTAATTAAAGAATGCATGCGTAAACGTGCAAAGTCATAAATGTGCAATTTGGTGAACACAGCACGTCTGGAAATGGAACCTCACCAGCCCCTAGAAGTCCCCTTTGCCCTATTCCAGCCTCACCGCTCCCTCCACCAAGGGTAAGCACCAATCTGGCTT